GGGCAAGATCCCACCCATCAAAAGTGCCATCTTCTGAAAAATACACATTTATTTGAAAGGTGAGAGATTCAACTGAGGCTAACGAAAGTATTCCTTGCTGGAAAGCAATCCCCTAGGGAGTGGTTTTCCTGGGATTAACATGTGGTAGCCTGTGCTGTTCCAGGGGGCCAGGTGACAGTTAAACTACTTGGCTCTATCATTCACGTACTTACTGCTTTTGCCAGGGTGGTGTGGGGAGGGAACAATGTGAAAGTGAGGGTGTTACATTGGCCTGCACCAAGGTTTCACAAAGCCTTAGAGGCCAAGCAATATGTGGCAGGAGTGGAGCCCTTACAGAGAATCCCAGTGAGGCCAGTGCATGGATCTGTGAAGGTGAAATCTAAGCTACAGTGAAGCATCTAGAATGCTGGAGATGCCAGCACTGTGTGACTTCTGCTGAGGACAGGAGCCCCACCCAGAGAAGCTCTGTGTGCTGCAAGTGGAGGGGTGGGATTTCCCAAGCCCTTTAAGACACAGGTTATTCCATTACAGGCCTAGTAAGATTTGGTGTTTGCCCTACTAGATTTTGGTCTTGCTTTTGCCCACCCCTTGCTTGCTGTGTTCACATTCCTCCCACTTGTAATGAAGCCTCTGATTCTGTGGCATGGTATACGGCAAGTTTGTAACTTGTGTTATGATGTTATAGGGGCTCATCCTTAAGAGACAACTCGAGTTTTAAAGTTTCAGAAGAGATCTACACTTGAACTTTTGGACAGTTTGGGGATTGTTAAAGACTATGGGGACATTTGAAGTTGCACTAAGTGTATTTTATGAGATGGTCATGAGCCTATGAGGACAAGCGATAAAAGATGGTGGCTTAAAAGTGACATGTTATGATGACAGACTGATGATGGGTGGCCTTGTGATGGCTCTTGGATGTCAACCTGACAGGATTTATCATCATCAGAGAGAGAAACCTTGGGGCCTACCTGTCTTGCCCTAAATGTGAGTGGTATTATTTTGTGGGTTTGGAGGGTGCTCTAAACAGGAAGAAAGCAAGATGAATACCAGCATTTATTTTTTTCTGCCTCCTGATTGTAGAGGCAATGTGGCCAGATGGCTCAGTCTTGGTACCAGGCTTTTCCTGTTATGATGGTATACCCTTGTACTGTAAACCAAAGCAAACACTCGTTCTAGGAGTAGTTAATATAAGGGCCAAAGTTACCTAAGGCTATCTTTGGTCCTACCAGTATACATTTATCCCTCATCTTTTGTGTCTGATCTAATATCCTTTCAACTGTCAAGTAAACCCTTTAGACTGTATTAACAGACCACCAACTTCACCAAACCATGTCATCAGATAACATTTAAGACTTGTAACAGAGATTTTTCTGTTCTGCTATAACCTGCCTACCAGATCCCACAAGTGTACTTGGTAAATACATTGATTTATGATTCTTTTGTTCTGTGATTATGCAAAGTTCAGTTACCAACTTACATGCTGGATCACGTTATTTGGGACAACCTGGGTCTATATTCCCAAGCTATGGTCACTCTTATTTGGCTCATAATCAGTCATGTCTTACTCCCTTTGAGGTGACAGCTGTGTTTCATGTCAGGCCCTCAAAGACCAAAGCAAGGCACACAGGCTCCAGCAGAATGGACCCTTGGCTATCCTATTTTGGCAATCGTAATGCCAATAAATCTTGGATGACGCATGCATAATCCCAGCTCTTCTTGTCAAAACATACAAAATGACAGGAGGTCTGAACTTAAGAATTCCCCTCTGGCTTATGTTTAAGGGTTGAAAGCAGCTCCCCAAGGAAAGCCAGAAGTATGCTGTTCTTTCAGCCAGGTGTTGGAATAGGGTAAATAGCTGATAATGTAATGAGCTCCAAGTATTTCTGACCACTAAAATACTAGGGTTATTTTTTTCCAGAAGAGACATTTCCTTTTGCTTTGTTTTGTGCTGTATCCACACAGGGTACTAGTACAAGGCAGGTACTTAAATATTCTATGTTCGGTTTCAATTGCTGACTACTATGCTCTTTCCATGTGGTGGCATTATTGCACCCAGGAAGACTGGAACATTGGTAGGAATAACATCAAGGGTTTAAAATGCCTTTTGTCTTTGCCTGGCACTAGCAGCAGTAACTGCTAGTAACTAGCACATGGCAGTTCCTCCATGCTTCCTTTACTTCTTGAAACTTTGCCTCCTAAAGCAAGAGGGATGCTTAGAAGACTCAGGAAGTAAACAGACCTCATATGTCTGGGAAAGCTGAAGCCTACATGACACAGGAATTCCATTGGACAAGTGTTGGGAGAGACTTGGAGATGTGGAACTAACTGCCTGTACGTCATACACAGAGCTCCAGCATTGCTGTGGAACTCCCTGCAGGCCATACACAGAGCTCCAGCATTACTGTGGAACTCACTGCAGGTCACTCACAGAGCTCCAGCTCTACAATGCTGAGCTCCCTGCAGGTCATACACAGAGCTCCAGCTCTGCAGTTCTGGAACTCACTGCAGGTCACACACACACAGCTCCAGCTCTGCAGTTCTGGAACTCCCGGCAGGTCACACACACAGCTCCAGCTCTGTAGCTTTTGTAGGTTGTCATTCAGTTTGGAGTGGGTTTTTTAGTAAAGCAGCTGCCCCTGAGTCATCACTGCTCCTTTAGTATATTCATTGGCTTGCCAAGTTGGACTTTGATGAAATTACTACTTTCTCTTTTCATTGGTCCCTAGCTGAGGTCAGTAGACACTTATCCATGTCTTCCCAAGAAGTGCCAGTCATACAACATTCATCCTCCTCAGTTGTTCTCTCTTCCTAGACTCTTACCATTACACACACCTTCCTTTGAACACACTTCTATGTCCTACAAGGCATTTTAGAGACTATACTCAGGAAACAGGTGACTTGAGTCCAAGAAAGCCCCTAAAGGTGTTATATTGGGCAAGTTGCAGTTACTAGTGGGCCTCAGAAATTTATGGCAGAATGGCATCCCCATGAGTCTTTTAATGATGCTGAGAGAGAACCTCTCTAGAACCTGTACTGTATCCCAAAAAGCCATTGGATTTTCAGGAACCCAATTCACATTTTTTTCCCAAGATTCCTAAATCTGGCCAGTTTCACACTGACACGGTGTTACTTGTTTATGAAACCTGCAACTGGGGTCGGCAACCCAATCTCCAAACCAAAATATATTAGGCTTTTTTTTTTTTTTACATCTAGTAGTCAAACTGAGAAACCATGAATCTTACAGATACAGGGCAAAGCACAGGACTCAACTGAGGGTGGTTCTTTCAGACTCCAATCCAAGCTCTGCCTGAATGTGGAAGCCCACAGATCTTTAACTTTGTGCTATCACCTGCCCTGGATTGTGGGAAACTCCTGTCTAAGATTACTTTCATGCTGCCCTAAATTTAGTGGGACCACAGGAAAATAAGATTTTTCACTGTTGAAATACTTTAACAGGCAGTGAGTGGAACTACTACCATAATTCTTGAAGTACACAACAGGTTTAAAGAGCTCAAGGAATGTTTCTTGGCACCCAGAGAAACTGGTTTAAAAAAAATTTCACTGAGTTACAAACTTGTTTAAAAGCTCTAAAGGGGAAATCTTGGAGCAGCCTGCCACCTTCAGGATAACTAACCAATTAACTCAGAGAACACAGGTTTTCGATTCTAAATATCGCATCTACCAAAACATTCCTTATAGCAGTCACCAGAGAAATGTTTCATGATAAGCAAGTGAAAACATTAACATTGTCCTTCTAGTGTTTTTTCCTTACGACGGTGCAGTC